TATATATATATATATATATATGGTAACATGTAGGTTAATATATTTCCTGAGAGAATTTCACCCACAGTTATTAGGTTGCTAATGTAACCCTTTCTTTCTTGCATGAGTAGGAGAATATGGGGAGAACCTGGTAATCCGATTTGTTGCTCCTAAAATAAAAGCTCGTCGATCCATTACCAGACGGCGCTTCTGTCCCAACTGTCAACAGTATTACTGCAAGGAGAGACTTCCTTTACACAAGTGCAAAGAGCGACTGTATTGCTGCCCTGTCTGTCACAAACGACTCTCGAACGAACATTCCCTGAAGAGGCACATCCGCCTACAGCATTCTGTGGTACCTAGGGAGGCTTATAAGTGCAAAGTGTGTGGCAAGGAGTTTCTAACTTTGAGCTATGCTGAAGAGCATAAAGAAAAGTGCCGGAGTTTTGAAGTATTGGACAGTTAAATGTGTATCCATGTATAAGCACACTGTTCCACGAGTTTTGTTACATTATTGTTTTTTATATATGTTTTTAAAATGCAGTGTATTACAACTACTCGTAACGTGAAGTTTTTGTAATAAGTATTTTTGAACGGTGATTGTGAGTCATCCTACTAAACACATAGGTAGCAATTCAACACTGTACCATACAATAGCCTTCTTCAGGAATGGTTTTTAACACTAGATAATAGTTCAACACCGTGCCATACAATAGCCTTCCTCATGAATGTTTTTTTAACACTAGATAATAGTTCAAACCGTGCCATACAATAGCCTTCCTCAGGAATGGTTTTTTAACACTAGATAATAGTTCAAACCGTGCCATACAATAGCCTTCCTCAGGAATGGTTTTTTAACACTAGATAATAGTTCAAACCGTGCCATACAATAGCCTTCCTCAGGAATAGTTTTTAACAATAGATAATAGTTCAAACCGTGCCATACAATAACCTTCCTCAGGAATGGTTTTTAACACTACATATTTCTTTACACTGTATAGTATCATGTACTGACTCTTATTGCCTTACTAAAAGTGCAACCACACGATATAAGGTACAATAGCACTGGTTGAATTCAGCCCATGACATGGCTAAATATGTAAATATCGGTTACAGTGAGCGATACCTCAAATCTATTCTGTTATCGGTGAGTACACAGATCTGCTCGTCAAGGTGTAATGGAGTCCAATTTGAAATGTATAAACCACTTTACAAGTGTAATTTTGTTAGTGAATATTTTAAAGAGGAATTTATTTTTTTAGCAACGTGAACGTTATTTGTAGATTGACTGTTTAGTTGAATAATACGTAATTATGTATGTCCACTTTTTTTTGTCTTTTTTAATGGTTATATGTATATCTCTCATTTGTGAGATAATGCATTTAAGAGTTAGAAGTTATAAACGTATCGTGGTAGTAATTTTCACAATATAGCTTACTTTAAAATGGTGTTTAAACTGTAAATAACATGTTAGGTCTATTTGCTAATATTAATGGATTGCCAACTGCCTGTTGAAGGAAAATTAGGCGACGTTTCGGCTACTGCACTTAGGCCTTCTTCGGTATAAAAGCCGAAACGTCGTCTCCTTTTCTTTCAACAGGCAGTTACAGTCAGTCAAACTTAATGTGTTTACTTTGCCTAAAGTTCCAATGAAACAACATACATTAATGGTTATATTGATACAAAATAAACACACAAAAGTTGGAGAAGAGGACAATTCTGATTTTTTCAAAGTATTCAAATCTATAACAAGACAAGACATAATATTCAGTTCCTTCCGATCATAAACAGATATGCTTAGTGCGATGTATATAGTAATGTCTGTGTGTTGTTTGTTTTTTACTGAATAATAACGAGGGAAATAGGATGTAGACATAAAACTGAAAGTAATTAATAAATTTTCTTTCAAAACTTACCGATGCTTTGTTCTGTAGTTGCCATATTTTTATGAAATAAAGAAAAACTTTGTAAGTTTTTTTAGATTGTTAACAAGTTGAGATTACATAGTGTATGTATTTTAGGGTTAAAGATAACGTGAAACAGAATAATGTGTTGTTTATTGCTGACCTTTAATGTTGTGTAACTTAGCACTAATCACACAAAGCTAACCTGTAATTTTGGAGTTTTTTACCTAGAAAGAAGGTTTCTGTTATTGAGTTTGTAAATGGTTTTACGTATTTAAAGTCGGTGGGGGAAGTAAATAACGTCTTTTTTTAATAAACAGGCTAATTTGCAGGTTTTTTTGTTTTTTTTTAACCTTCGTTAGAACCCCTACAAGAAATCAGTAGTATGAAATTTAAAAATATCGTTTAAAAGAATGTAGTGACTACCTTCCATAACAAGTGTAAACTATCTTTCAGGTTTCATTAATATATATTGTGCATATATACAGATGTATCTATTTAACTTAAATGTATTTAAGAGACATTGTGCTAGATTGAGTGTGTGTGTGTGTGTGTCTTGATTTTCAGAGATACAAGTTTTCAAAGGATAAAGTAAGCAAACAATAAGTGTATTCGTTTTTCCATTAACTCGAGATCATCCAACTCTGTAAATAAAGTAGATATTTGTTTTATTCTAGGATATTGGTTTAAAGAACACTTACCTTGGTTGATGGGCAAGAAAAGAAAAGTCCCTATGAAGATTAGCAGCTGTTCCGTGTGCCAAAAAGTATTCAAATATCCATCTAAGTTAAAACAGCACATGGCCGCTCATAGGACAGAGCATCACGTATGTCCACGATGCTCGCGTGTGTTTACGTGGAAAACTAGCTTGTACAGACACCTTCGATGGGACCACAACAAAAAGGAATGAACTAGAGATACTTGGTTGTGTCTTTTAATAGAATGTGCACATCGCTCAGCTAAAAATTTTGTACTCCATTAAATAAAATACCATCTTATGGCTTCTGTTTGTCAGTCATCATAAAGGTTGACAGATACCACACACTGTGGTGATAAAAGAAAATGAAACCATGTTGTTGTTTTTTTACCTTTTAGAAAGGGGGTGATTAGTAAGTCTATGATTCTCTTTTTTCAGATATTATTGATAGGGAATAAGAAATCGTAATGGTTGGCATAACTACCAACAAATCACTGAATGTCAGATGCTTTTATTTTTAGAAAAATATGATTAATAGGGAAGAACAGTAAGGCCAATTTTTTAAAATTGCCGACATTTCTTTGACTACAGAATTCATCATAACTTAGATAATATAAGAAGCAGAGGCGTAGCAACTGCCCCAGCAGGGGTGGAGGTTGGAACTACCTACATATTCTGCGCTACGCCTCTGGTAAGAAGCCTTTCAGTAAGTCTTAAAAAAGAACAGTAAGGTCAAATTTGAAAATTATTGAGGTTTCCTGACCATTGGATCCATTGTAATTTATATTATGTAAGAAACATTTTAGTTAAGATGCTAATTTGCAATTTATTTATTATAAATAAATAGTATTTAGGGCTAATAAATAGCCTATTAGCCTTATATACCTTTTTTGTTTTTTTACAAGGAGGCTATGTTGAGAACAAAACTTAAACTTTATTAATCTTGAGGAAGAACAACAAGGTCAAATTTAAAAATTACAACAGAGATTTACCAACCATAAGATTCCTACTTGCATGAGATATGAAACCCTTTAGTGTTGTTTATGTTGAAACTTTGAGGTGAAATATATATTTATATACTCAAAAAATATATCACAATCATGATTTGTGTAGTTACCTCAGATGACCTAAAAATCACAATAATTTGTGTAGTTACTTCAAATGACCTTATGACCTAAAAAAATCACAATAATAATTTGTGTAGTTACCTCAGATGACATTTATTGACCTTATGACCTAAAAAATCACAATAATGATTTGTGTAGTTACTTCAAATGACCTAAAAAAATCACAATAATAATTTGTGTAGTTACCTCAGATGACATTTATTGACCTTATGACCTAAAAAAATCACAATAATGATTTGTGTAATTACCTCAGATGACCTTTATTTTGCCCTAAGTTACCTGCAGTATCTGTAAAATAATAAGAAAATTCGACAGGTAATGTAACACGAAACAGTGCTTGTATTTACTGTGCCTTTGACAGGATATGTATTTATACAAAATAAAGAGGCTGGATACAAGTTTGTAAAGAATTGCAATATTAATAAAACAACACAGTTCAAGTTAATACCTGGAAAAGTGCCTGTGTTCGATTGGGAAGAGAAAGCAAGCCTTATTTGTGTGATCTCAACAGCATAATTTCTACTTCACAGGTGCTGAAGTTTTGCTAAATCTGTCAAGTTAAGACCTCACTCAGAAGCTTATAATGAAATAATCAGGAAAAACCTCAGCGTCTATGAAAATCATTCAATATCTAACAAAATGTATCGATCTGGTAATCTATATCAAAATCTCTTAAACTTTGGAAAGTATAGCAAATCAGTCTTAAGCAAAACGACAAAAACATGAAAATATATACAAAGTTTTATTTTTTTCATGAACGCAAATGAAGACCAATCTCGTGTCAATAGGGAGTGTTACACCCTACGGATATCGCATGGCTCGCCGGGAGAGTAGGTCACCGTTTCTATCTATAACATTTTGCAATTTGGGAATTAAAAAAAAAATTATCTGATAACTAATGGGAAAGATAACGCATGATACGTTTGCATATGATAATTATTTCATGGAAACAAAGCAGCCAAAGAAAAAAAAAAGCTTCGTTCAGTCGTTCTAAATATGTAGTATTTACATTGAGACTCAAATTTTGAATATTTAAATGAACAATTAATTTAAGATTACTCCTAGTTTGTTATATGTTCTTAGTATGGTATATCTTGGGATAAAATAACATTTAAAGCACATAAATATTTAATAAAATCAGAGGCGTTGCTAGGCACTGGTACACGGGGCCCCTTACCCTGTGCCCCGAATCCCCAGTTGGTGTCTTGAAAAATCAGATTTAAAAACCTTGATCGATATCATGCCTATAGGCCCGAATCTTTTAAGCACCTAGCGACGGCTCTGAATCAAACCATTAATTTAACTTTTATGTCAAAGGATTTAAGATCTCTCGCTGATGTTTCTTTGTTTTTTTATGCGAAGAAAAAAGTTGTGTATTTGTATAATAACTGACACTTTTTTTTTATAAAAGTTCATTCCTCTGTTAAATAATGAACGAGTCAAAACCAACAATTTTTAGAATTAAACTGTTGTATGAAATGCACATAATATATTTATCGTTATTTTAGCGCAACGCTACACAGTAGGGTATACACTCTATGTCCACCACGTGGAATAGAATCCAGATTTTTATCATTGTGAATACGTAAACTTACTATTGACCCACAGGGGAAGAATGTAAAGTATGCAACGTTTGTAATTATTGACTTTAGCCTAAGTACCTATTTCAAAAATGCAAAATAAATATAAATATGCTCAATTTTATTGATTTATGTAATGTTAATTACCTAAACGTTAAATTTTAATTCTAATTTAGGTAAATTCTGTTTTAACATGTTCCATGCGTTAATTAAAATGGGCGACACTACTTTAAAGAAGTCCCAGAGTAGAAAATAATTTTTCCGAAAGGAGGACCGAAGGCCGCCTAAAGGGATCACTTATTTTAACCATTCACACCATTATACAGTAGTTTGTTGTCTGTCAATAGACACTAAAATGCATCACACAAAGAGCGCTTAACGTTGCAATTTGTACTGTCGTGACTTCAGTAAAACCTGCGCATGCCATGAATCAAAAGAATCATGCACTCTGTAGGCTACAACACACCATGACATACGAATTTCAAAAGCAAGAAATAAAAATATTTGTCATTCTTAATTTTGGTTTTATTTACTCTTTGAAACTGGACTCTTTCGGGGACCTTGCGGAAGTACATCTAGTTTATGTTGTTTCTAAGCCAGATTGTTATGTACCATGATACCAAAATACGGTTAAAAAGTGATTTTCACCATTTAACTTCGTTGTGTAAACGAATAAAAAAATCTCAAGTTTCATCAGAATTAATTAAGTAAAAATGCTTAATCGTAACCCATTTGTGTAACATTCAAACTACTAAATCCAATGTTCGTGTTCTGTTCTTACAAAATTGCTCCTCTTACTTTGGAGCCGTAAATATGTTATAAGAGTGATGGTCAAATACTATTATTCGATTAGAGTCGCCCACGAGTTAACGGTGTGTTGAATAGCTGTTTCCTTCTAGTCTACCTTTCAAAATTGATAATGGATAGCGCAGATAGCCCTTGAATAGCTTTGTCCAAATATCTTAAATAAACAAACGTACAACTTACAAGTTAGTTGTAGTTTAATAAGATTTATAAGTAATATTGGTCTTTATTTTTTTATGTTTACACATACACAGTTTTAATAAAAATCAAGTTTAAAAATAGGTGCACTTAAATTATACCACACTATAGATAATTAATGATAATAGCATAAACTATTTCATAACTATTGTTATTTGAACTGGATGGGGGCGCTGTTGTATACTATTACTATAAATACTAATTTGATCTTCATTCGTTAAAGTTTTATAGACTTTGAAGTTTGTTAAATATGTTTTAATACTAATTACTGTACACTTTGTGTAATACTTATAACTGTGGCTGGAAAATTGTTAATTTTATATTATAATTTCATTGCTTATACATTCAAACTATTTGATTAGTTATTTAAATGTTAACTCTTTAGAGAAGTAGGCTTAACAATAGTAATAAACTAAATAGTATACTGTATAGTATTCTATTTCTAGTAATGATTAACTTTGTAAATCGCAATATATTGCCGTTGTAATACATTACGAGACGATATTGTGTTTATATTTTGAGAATTCATTGATTATACACAAAGGAAAAGAAAATACTTAATAATTTTAGTCATTGCAAATTCCATTGTGAGTTTGAGTATAAGTATAACTTAAGTTACGACAGTGAATAACAGTAACACTAACAATATACTTTTTTTTTAACTTTTACTCTGTTTTAGGCATTGAAATCTGTTATTCATGTAAGGTGTAAGATAATCATGAAGGACTATAAACTAAAATCTATATTCATAGTAGCGAGACTGTAAGTTGTAACACTCAATATTGCAACTAAACATTAAGTCGTAATGAATCATTAAATGATTAATGTTTATTACAACTTATAAGTGTTAGTAATATCGAGCTTACTCGGTTTTGTAAGGCCTAACTAAAAAGCTGTTACTGTTAGTTGTATGTAAGTTTAAGTGTGGTTTTAGGCTTAATTTTCTGTTCTACATATATTAATTATAGATTAGTGTATTCAGAAAAGCGATTTTTAAGTTACTGTCAACTGTAAAAAAAAAAAATACTGTTGCTGGTCAACTGGTAAGTTAGCATGCTACTCTTACTAATACTTTGAGTTTGAGTAGGACTGCTGCAGTGCTAGTACTAATAGAAATTAGTATGGCATACCTATGAAGTAATAAATTTTCTTTGGTGGAATTTGGTGTAGTCTTAAGTGTAAGTCCTAAAAGAGGGTTAAAATTCAACTGCAAATAATGAAGAAATGAAAACTTATCTTAGGTAAAAAAGTTATTTAGATTTCTTATTTTTTGAGGCAGGTACGAGGTCGATCAAATTGACCAAGCCTGTATAGTAATGGTAGAGAAAATAACCAGTATAAAGTTTCACAGAAAAAAAACAACTAATGTTTATTTAGGAGGTTCTTTAGGTTAGGCAACTGCTAAAAAGTGGTTTAATCTTAAGATGAAAATTGCCTTGCATTCACAATAGTTTGAGTCAGACTGACTATATAAATTCATAGATAAATCTTTGTTTAATATACTTAATGAAAAAATTGGATATTTTGTGTACAAGATACTTGAAATGTTTACTAAAAGCCTGCCAAATTTTCTGAAGATCCACTTACTGCATTAAAAGTTACAGTATTTATACTTCCATGGTTACCTATTTGTTACATGGTTGTCACAAGGTTAAAATGACTAACGCTGTATCGATAGAGTTAAAGCATTTTATTTTATTTTTTACGTCATATTCTCGAGTAGAGTGAATGAGTTATGGAAAGAGTTGCTGTTGGCGGTAGTTGAGGCACATACTGTACAGGAGTTTACTTGGGCAACCTTGAAGGACCAAATGGCCCATTGCTGTCTGTAAGTTATGTTATATTATGACCAGTCTTTTTATGGTATCTACAAACTGCATGAAACAATCTATTTAAGAGTATAATAAGTATTAAAATAACATTATACATATAATCTGCCAATACTTGGCATGAGAATGCATGCCATACATTTTACTGGGGCCACAAAGTAACCAATGCTGAGGCACTTTTGCCTCAAAAAGACTAGCAACATAAGACTGTTGTTTTAATATGATTTTTGAAACTGTTTTTAGTCTTGGATAAAAGACTGCTAATTTTATTACATAATATGGCTTATTTCTATGTATTAATAACACATGGAGGCTGAACATTGCATTTCCATGTTCGTTAACATTGCATAATCACTAAAATGTTATGACCATAACTAAGTTTTAAATTCTTAATCTTTCAGCCAGTTGGAGCAAAATATTTTAACCTACCTGATGTTGTGATATAATCCAAACAATGCAGTTGTTATTCAACTGAAAGGAAGAGGGAATGTATCATTTTGTCAATTTTAAGCTGTATTCCAATCAAGAATTGCAGTTATCCAGTGTTTATTTCAATCTTTATTATCTGTGAAGATTATTATTGATACTGTATCATAATAGCACATTTCATTGTAGACTTGCATATATTAATTTCAATTGTATTTATCTCATTAAGACTTTATGTAATAGTACCATGACAAAAACTTCAGAACAAATGCAAGTGGCTTAGGAACGTTCCAGCTAAAGAGTGTGCTCCAAAGGTACTTGTAGCTTCGGGTTGCTGAAAATTAAGTTCAATCCAGATTCTCACAAGCTCAGTAAATTGTCACACGATAAATTTTAAGTGATGTGTGAGATAGGTGCATAAAGGTGTAATTGTTAGAGCTGGACAAGTTCATATAAAAAAAATTACCTATGAGTAGTGATTACATCAATTAGCATCACGTAATCTAATTGATTAATCAAAATTATCATTAAATGAATTTATCAATATTAGCTTTTCTCATTATTACTGTTTATTCCAACAATTAATTAATTGAAATTTTGATTATATCGATTGTCACTAAAATAACTAATTAAAATTTATATTTACAGTTATTTCAACTATCTAAATAAATGAAGTATTGCTAATTTTGTTGTTGTAGTTAATCATAAAGCTATGTCATGGATTGTCTGTATTCTGCCCAGTTTAAACCTTACAACCTTTGTTGTTGTTGTTTTTTTACTTGAAGTTTGTTCAGCTTTGGTAATTTGGGTTGGGGAGTGGATGCCCATGATTCAAGGATCTTGGGTTCGATTCCCATTGCCACTAAACTTGTTTGCCCTGTTTTTGTTATGGTAAAACAACTATCATTATCTGCCACTAATTTTTGACTACTGACAGAGAGATGGCAAATGTTTTGGATACAACTAAGATTATCTGCCACTAATTTTTGACTTCTGACTAGAGAGATGGCAAATGTTTTGGATACAACTAAGATTATCTGCCACTAATTTTTGACTTCTGACTAGAGAGATGGCAAATGTTTTGGATACAACTAAGATTATCTGCCACTAATTTTTGACTTC